CACGCTGCCTGACTGCCGAAGTCAAACAGGCCGCAAGCAGCGCTTGGCATTAAATATCCATAAGTTGCGCCTGTTTCGCCAAACGCCTTGGCATAGGGCGACATTTTGGCCCGCCCTCGTGCAAATATGATTAAATATTGTAAATGCCAAAGCTATGAACAGTCGCTGCACACACACACACACACACAAACACACACACACGGCGCAACAACACAAACCACCAGCAACAACCAGTGCTACATCAGTGAAGTAAGCCAGTTAGCCAGCACCACATTCAAAGCTCAAAAGACGGGGCAATCGGCATTTGTGGCGAGCGAACGACAAAAACCCACGCCCACAACAGCCTCCCAAAATGTGGGCAGCAAAACAAGATGAAGGAAATGTGAGCCACAGATTGTGGAAAGTTGAATACTCTTGGAAATAGAGGTGGTATATAAGAGGAGACTATATGCTATGGATATATAATAGATAACCAGGGTATATAAGAGCATGCGAGGTAAACTATATGAAGAAAATTTATGGTCTACTCTAAGAATGATGTCGTATGGCCTTTTCGTTCGATCAGAGTCTAATTCACAGGCAACTATATTAGCTGTATGTATATATAAGTATTCCTCTTTTATCTTTCAATTTCTTCATATCCAAATATGACTATCATCCTTTACTTCTCACATATTCCACACATTCCTTAATCGATTCTTCACTTCCCGACTTCAGCTAGTCATAGCGCCCTCCTTGCAGTGTATTCAAAGTGGTTTGCCACACCTTAAAGCCTTTTGTCGTTTAGCCTATGGCTGGGCACTCTTTTCGTTGCAGTTCGCCAACCGCACAGAGCTGCACGAAGTTCAGGTGGAAACCACAACTAAAATGCCACATGGTAGGGCAGCCTGTGCCTGGCCTCCCCTCTCTCTCTCTCTCTCTCTCTCCACTCAACTCAGGGCTCTGAATGCAATTATGTGGCCAAATTGTAGCTTGAAGTACGCACATATTCATGGCAATGGCCAGGTGAAATGGTGAAATGCTGGACACAGATTCTGTTTGACATTCGACTTGATTTATTGGCCATTCGATTCGGCCAGCAAACACCTTGAGGAAAATAACGTAGTGCATATTTTAATTATAACAAGTTTCAATATGGACAACAACAGCCAAGGAGGTGTGGGCGTGGCATGCATGAGGGGGTACAGACGGACCAAAATGTCGCTGCCACGCGAACCAATGAAAGACCACTAAAAAGTAATTGTAGTTAAATGTCAAAGCGACAATTGTTGCTGCTGTTGCTGGTGTTTCTGTTGCTGTTGTGGCCGTTGTTGTTGTTGTTGCTGTCGTTTTCAACTGAAATGTTCATAAAGTGAATGGCACAAGCAATACAACAGTAACAGACACCACAGCAACAGCAGCAACAACAACAACAACAGCTGAAAGGTGGGCGTCAGGTCGCTTGGTCGCTTGTTATATACCAAATACTCATTACAAGTGTAACAAGCGGGTATGCTCATTATGTGTAAATTTAATGTAACAAATGTAACGAAAAAATAAATATACGTTTATCGATAATTTTTCCAGCCAAAAATTAATATCGATGCACACACCAAGACCTAATATGAAGTACTGATCATCATAATAATGATAATGATGATAATGTTTTATAAAATATTCCTTAATACATGCTTTCCTCATCTAGACTTTAGCTCTATATAAAACAAACCCCAAAAAGTTCATACATAACAGAAGAAAGCAAACTATTTATTGAATCTAATCCTTTTACATATTAAAACACCTAAACCACTTAAAGCCCCTTAGAGGGTATTCTGTCGTCTATCATAACGCTCATTTGGTTTTGGCAATTGGTTCAAGTAATAGAGTACTGTAGCTAAATGAGGCTTAACTTGCAATGACCACGAACGGACGTTGTTGCTCGCTCGCAGATGGCAGTCGAGCAGAAGACGTAGACAAAGGTAGAACTAGAGAGGGCGAGAGAGGGAGTAATGAGGGGCCAGAGAACGGGGCAACGGAATTCATATCAACTGAAATTGTGTGACAAATCGACAAATTGCAGGCAATGTCAACGAGGCGGCACAGGCTCGTTACAGACAGGCAGAGTGTGGGGCAGTTGGAGGTCTTCAGACCTGTGCGACAGCTCGGGATCGCAATCTTTGAGCCAGACTAAATATGCTAATTATGCGTTAATAAGCAGCCGTTGCTCTGCCTCGATGGCAACTGCTGTTGCTGCTGCTGTTGCTACTGCTGCTGCTGCTGCTGCTGTTGCTGCTCTACGGGGCGTGACATGCGGGTTGCCTGTGTAACTGTTGCACGTATTTGCTGACTATGTATGGTAGAATACACTTAGAGAATGCGGAATGACTAACTGGAGTGCGCAGAAAATTAGTATTTGAAAACCATGGTCTAATACGTGGGTCAATTCTGAATTTTAAATTGTTTTGTGAATTCCAAAAATAATTTAGGAAAAATAGCGAAAATATTTATATTGAATTTATTAAGCTTGTATAAATTAATATAAATGTGTAAAATTATAGTCTTATTGAGATTAGTTTCTTTTAACTTATTAGATTCAATTGGGAGAGAAATTTTCATCTAAGAACAATTACAATATTTCAAGCATATAAATTATTGAATACACTCAGTAAAAAAATAGTCATTCAATTATTTAAAATATTCCTTTTTAAGTATCAAATCTTTTGATCTATCTATAATTTAGTTTAAGCTGATTTTTATTAAAAAAAAAAAAAAAAAAAAAAAAAAAAAAAAACCTAATAAAATACTTATTTTAGTATCTATTAGCTTTTTACCATTACGCATTAAATTAATTAGCCTGTTTGGCATGCAAAACGAAAAGATATTTCTATATATTCCAAAGCAAAATGCAGTCATTTCTAGGCCAATTGCAATCAAGTTTTTCTGCAAGTGTATTCTTGTACATATTTATATATAGATTTTTATAAGTATATATATGTAGCTATATGTACTGTTAGTGGTTGGAGATAATTTGCTGGCCGGTTGGCTCTTTGCCATTTGCCATTTTGCCGCGTTGCGTTGTCGGCCCACAGAATCATTGCGAAAATTTGTTGCCTCGGGCCTTTTTAGCTTTAATTATGAACAATCAGTTGTTGCTAGAGCTCTATAGCTGTTGTATTTGTTATCGATTGTTATTGCTTTGATTGTGGTTGTTCTTGCTGTGCTGGCTAGCTGCATGTCAATCAAAGGCGCTCAAGTCGTGATTTGATGATTTTGTTGCTGTTGCTGCGCTGCTGTTGTTTTTTGCTTCTAGCCCATTTGTCAAGCAGAACAGCTTTAAGCCAAACTGTCCTTCAATATGATATCGCAGGCGGGTCGTCGCTGCTCTGACTTTTATAATGCCATGAAATGAAAACAAATCATTTAATGATACATAAATACACGGCTTACGGCCAGATTTAGGCGTTGAGAGCTATCCAATTGCGGAATCAATCAAATACAAATAAAATTCTTGTCATTATTGTTGCTGCTGTTGTTGTTGTTGTTGTTTTTGTTGTTGTTGCTGTTGTATAAACTCATAAAGCTTAATTAAAGATCCAGCCAAAGTTTTTGCTTATTTACTTTTTGCCCCGGGGTCGCAGCGAGTTCAGCAAGAATCTCAAGTATCTCAAATATCTGTATTTATGTAGTTATGTACGTATTTATATAAATATGTCTATATGCATGCACATATATAATCAACTCAATTATTGTATCAAGCATGATATTTGCAATTATTTTTTTAAGCGCTGGCGCCAGACTTCGTTTTGGCCCAAATGCCGTTTGCGCTGGAAGCTCAAGTTTTATTACAACATTTTTGCTTTTTTTTAGTTTTTTTTTTTTTTTTTTTTTTGGCCACAATAAATTTAACAATGTCACGTTATAAATTCTGCACAGCTCGCTGTTAACGTTGACTGCTCTTTATTTATATCGTGACTTTGTTTTTGTTAGTTGCTAACTTTTATTGGGATACTGTAAGTCGCTCTGCGGAATACCAATTTTCTCAAGGAAAATGTTAGCTCAAACTAAAACTGTTGAAGTTAATAGCTTTAGAGAGTATTAAGAATAAGTTTTCTCAGCAATCTGTTGACTATATCTATGGCTTTTGATTGAGTTTTTGAACAGTTTATGTGCATACAATTTCTTTAATTTACAAGTCTTTAGGCTTAAGACCCTAGCTTCTTTTCTTTCATTTATCATTCAAGTCATTAGGCCCTAGATTCCAATGCCTTACTACTGCATTTCTCATTCTTTATATTAAGAAACTTCGACTCCATTTCTTCAGCTAACAGTGCATAACACATTCGTCTAGTCTCTGTAAACTTCGCTTTCTTGCTTTGCAGTGGGCTTAAATCAACTCTGATCTTTGCGCTCTCTTCAGCAGCTACTCGCTTTGGCTTTGGCTTTGGCTTTAACTTAATTTATGCAGCGAACTTGTTTCGATTGCTGCTACAGCCGTCGCTGTTAAATATATAAATTGATATATATAAAATGTATTTATACATAAAAAATTTTAAATATATATATTAATATATATGTATGTATATACAACAAATTTAAATTTGATTAAATTTTTGTTTCGTTGCGTTTTTTAATTGCATTTGCAATTTCTAATTAAGTTGTTGACCACCAAAAAAAAAAAGCTCAAATATATATATATATTTGTATATTTTAAATATTTGCAACTGGTTGGCGGCGGGGCAGCGCCTCCCTCTCAGTCTTCTCCTTTCTGGCTGTGGCTGTGGCGTTTCAAAATTAATTTTTGCTCAGCGCTTTAGCCATTTACTTTTGTTCAATGCAAACGACTTTTTTTCGTATTTCGTTTTGGCCAAGTCTCTGAAGTCTGAGAAGTTTACATTTTTGCCTTTGTGCGGCATTTGCTGATTCAGCTACCAGGCTATACATATTTATTTGTCTGACTTAAAGGTTTTCTCTCCCTCTCTCTTTCGCTGTGAATAGACCATCAAATTGACAAGTTTTCGAAATCGTTTTAAATGCAGAATCTTATCGAAGTTGATTTATTTACAAAATTTGTTTATATACAATACATTTCTTTAGACTACGCTCTATCTACATCTATCTGTCTCTCATTATCTCTCTTCCGCCCGCACTATTGCTGCTTGGCCAGTTTGCGCAGCTTGGAGACATTGTGTCTCAGTTTCCGCTTGAAGAGCAGCTCCCGATTGACCGCCTTAAGATCATCCATGCTGCAGCTCTTGATGTTGCGCACCGTCTTGGAGATGAGCTCGTCCGTGATCTCGATCTTGGTGCGGGATAGCCGCAGCAGCCGTCGCTGGCGTCTGGCCAACTCCTCACGATATAGGAACAAGTGATACGAGACGGTTGGTTTCGATTGCTTTTCCAGCTCCATGGCGATATGTTGTTGCTCTGTTGCTAGTTGTTTGCCAAGTGTTGACATAGCAACATGCAGCATGGCTTATATGCAACCGATCGAAGCTACCTGTCGTGGCCTGGCCGGGTCTACCTGTACCTGGCGCACCTGAGCACCCAAGCGCCGGCTGTTTGGCTGCCAGGTCAGGCAACTGTAAATATTTGTGCCAAAATATTTCGTGGCTTAATCCGGCCTAATCCACTTTGGATGCTCGCTAACCGTTTATGCTTACCAGTCATAATATGAACATCATCGCTATGTATATCCATATGCAAACACAGCAGCTGCGCATGCTGCCAAGCATGAACGAACCTGTCGAGTCAGCGAGGGCAGCAAAGAGGACGTTCAACGGCTTAGTTAATATGGAAGGAAGTAAAGAATTGCGAGAGGAGAGACGAGCAGGGGAATGTCGAGAGGCTTAAAACACTTTGAGAGTGTTTAGATGGAATTACTGTATCCATAAATTTCATTCTGAAGTTTCGCTTAATATACCATTAATATATATTAGTATTCCAAAGTATTGTCAACTAAATAATAATACCTTTTCGTAAGTTGAGAATAGAATGGAGCTACATATAAGCATATATCTTTAATCAATTAATCAATAATTTTTTAAACTAAAAATCATTTTAATACATATGGTAAAACATATCTAGTATATCTCTCAGTCTAACGAAATAACTATATAATATATCAATGTAAGATATTTATATTCCCTCTCAATTAACCTACAAAGAATTCAAACATAAAGCTTACTTCATCTAACAAGCATTCATTGTCATCTTCACATGGTATACACTTTCTGTCTCTCTCTCTCTCTCTCTCTCTCATTCTCCTCGTCACAACATCTTTCTGGCGCAACTTCTTTGTAATTTGGTCAAGTTTTCTCTGTTTCCTTTTGTGAAAATGTCACCACACATATTTCCATGTGCTGCATTTTCTGGCGAGTCATTAGCATATGTAGCTGCAGTCAACAAAATGTTCGAGAACTTGCACAGAATATTGGGTTGAAAAATTCCTCTTGCCCTTCTTGCACTTAACAACTTCCAGGTAATTCATTAAGGTTTGCTTCATAATGAAATGTGCAAGCGGCCAGAGGCGACAATGCAGAGGTCAGTGGGCAGAGAGCAGAGGGCAAATGGCATCGCAGAGAGCCAACGAGAGCGAGAGAGCGAAAGCAAACATACTGTATGGCATTTGGTTTGTCAGGTCACAAATGGAATAATCCTTTTATAATTGCATCCAGTAGCGAGAATGTAGAAAAACAAAAGGATTTCGTGGCCAGGATTAAGAACTTGGGAAAGACCACGCGCCGGCTTAGGCAAATGCGTCGCATCAGCGTTTTATGAGCGGTTGACCGGCGCTGCCTGGAGGCAAGACAAGAGAGGGCAAGGCGATGCGCAGTGCGTACACGTTCCGTTGCGCAGGTAGGCAAAGGTAAAAGCCAAAGGCTACTGGCTGTCTGCCGATGCAGACGGCGGTAAGCAGCCGCTGCTCTTGACAGCTCGCAGACAGCTTCCAATTCAACGCGCTCCACACTCCGGCTCAATGGAAACAAGTTGGTTTGTGCATTCAAAAGTTATCGCTTGGACAATCACAATTATAATCAAGTCAACAACAAGAACAACAAAAATCATTGTTGATTAAGCAACGTTACGCCTGCAGCGCTGCTGCTGCTGCTGCCTCCGCTTCCTCCGCTGCTGCTCTTTTCATAGATTTTCATGGATTTTCATTTACATTATTGGGGATTTGTGTGCTTTTTTTTTGGGTCATTCATCGTCTTCATCGTCCACTGCTGCGCCTCGCCTCGAGCGCCCCGCATTTAGCACCACCACAAAAAATAAACCCAAGCAGAGCAGAGCGTCTTATGATATTTGTATTTGTGCAGACATATGGGCCTTAATAAGGGACAGCGCTGCGGACAGCACTCGATGGAGCCCATTAGCATAGCTTAAATATATGAGACAATATTTAACTGCTAATTGAAGAAACTCAAATACTCTAACAAACATATTCGTACATAGATGATGGTAAATATTTTTTGTATAATTAAAGCAGAGTTTGGCATGGAAAAATATATATTTGTCTATAGTTGGTGGTAAATATTTTTGTATAATTGATGTAGAGCTTAACATGGAGAGTGCTGTGCTTATATATGTGTAAAAAAAATATTTAAATATTTTTTTTCCAATACTAATACAGCATAAATGAAATACAAATAAATAATAATAATACTAATATAATATTTTACTTCAACTTCAATCTCTCCTAATCTAGTTTTCCCTCTCCTATAAATTAAATAAAAATGCAGTCAACCCAATTACAATACTTAACTAGCCCGCCCTGAAGGGCATTCGAAATATAAAAAATATATATTTAAACGCTTAAGCGGCCTACTCGAACTTTCACTCCGAAGTGCTTAGTGTGGGCTATATAAATGCATTACATTGTTATAATTGTTATTGTTGTGACGGTTGCTATTGTTGTTGTTGCAGACTTAATGCAGCTGAGCATATTTGAAAAGAATTTTGACAAGTCGCAACGCTTAGCGCTTGAAGTGAAAGACAAACAATGAAGCAGCAGGAGTTTTCACTTTTCTTTTTTCCATTTATCCATTTTATTTTTCATTCATATAAATTTCGGCAAACATTTTAACATAATTAAGTAGAAATTTAGTTAATATGCGCATTTAGAGCAGTCTGCAGTCTGCAGCACTGTCGGCAATCCACAGCTCAATTAAATTAAGTGAAAATTATAAATGTGCTCTAAAGTAAATTTTAATTTCGATGGGGCCGAGCCGTAGTGGGCTGGATCAGACAGCCAATGCTCGGACTACATTTTGAGAAATTCTCGTTCATAAATAAATATTTAATAAGCACTTCCTAGTGCGAGGGTCAAGCGCGTTGCGAATAAATTGTGTAAGCTGCATAAATTGTATTTCTGCGAAACAAATTTAAGCGCATTTATTAGGCCATGGGCAAAGAGCCAAGAGGCGGACATCAAGTTAATAAGAGTTAAGACTATTCTGAAGGGGCATGAAATATATTTATAGAAATTAAATAGCTGCGAATAGAGAAATGAATTTGAACTATATATTGTTTCCTAAAGGATGAATGTTCAGAAATATTTTCAACTAATATAAAAGAGTGGATAAATGTAAAAGAAGCATGTTCTTATTTATATATTAATATTTAAATTCCGAGAGGCGAATTCGGGCTACCAGCTGCTTCCTCATTTAAAATGTAAAGTCCTCGCATGAGGCCCAGAAGTAAGTTTCTTTTCTAGAACATTCCTTTAATAATTATCAGACATCCTCCCACAATGCAACTAGGCAGGGTATTTGCTATTTGTTGATCAACTCAAATACTTTTAATTTTATGCTTCACTTCTGTGTATTTTTTAAGCCGTGAATTTTGTAACAGAGAGCGGGAGATAGAGAGAGAGACAGCGAGATAGACTCATGTATTTATGCAAAGGTCAAGCCATAAATTTGTTGCTGCTGTGCAATAAACAAATCAAAAGCAACCCACACCCACACATCGGTACACACATACACACACACTCGTAGCTTTGCGATTGCTGTCGAAACATTTAACAAGATTTGTAAGAGACGTAAAATTGGGTTTTGCCCAGGCTAACAACAAACCGAAAGCCACAGATTTTTGTGCATTTTGCTCGAATCACAGGTAATTACGCGAACAGGTCAACAGGTAGCGAAATCAGCTCTTCGCATATAAATAATCCTGGTAAAGTACCAAAGGACATCATTCACAGCTCAGCCTGCCTAGCAGCGACAGCAACACTCCAGACAGTTGACGAGCAGCTCGCAATTATGGAAAGCCAAAAGAATCACAGCCACAATCATCGCCGCGGTGCTCGTCCCAGCGTTGGCTACTTGCTCTTCCAGTATCAGAGCGAATTGACGCGCCGGCATGCGGAACCGACGCGGCTCTCCCGCTGCAAGATCCACATTATCGACGGCCTCGTCTCACGTACGATACGGCAGCTGAAGCACTGCAGCGTCGAGGAGCTGCAGGCCTGCAAGCGGGAGCTCGTCTACAAGGAGCAGCTGCGGAACGAGCTGCGCAGCATGCGACGCAAAAAGAGCAGCAGTACCAAATCCACTTCCGGTTCCAGTTCCAGTTCCAGCTTGAGCAGCAGTTCCGCCTCTGCCGCGCCGCCTGTGAAGGCGCCCACCACCCCACCAAAGCCACGCAGCTCACACACCAAAAAGGTCATTATCTTTGGGCCCGAAATCTTTGTCTAACAAATTCATTTCTTTTACAAATTTTAGATTTTATTTTTAAGTTAGTTTGGTAATTACGTTCTGCATTAAGTTCTAGTTCTATTTTGTACTTAATTGTTGACGATTAAAAATCAAAGAATTTTGAGTTACAAATGGAGATCAATAATTTTTACAATTGCGCAATGGAATGGGGCAAATAGGTTATATCGACTAATAAATATCCTCGCTCAAATGTGAATAAAAGGTTAAGCAGCTTTAAAAAAATAAATAAAAAAATAACAAAAAAATAATTTTTTTTTTTAACAACCTAATAGAGGATCATGAATATTTTAACAAATTAATCTGTGCTTTAATGATACCTTCAAAGACCTTTAAATTTCATTTTGCCTTTAAGCAGTTTATATTTAGGGTATTTAACTCACTTCACTTTTCCACATTGTCTAGTAATTTCATTAAAATCCCATTTCTACTTCCATGCAATAACCTCCACTAGAGCATACGCCAAATATCAATAAGTAGCACTCTCTGTTTTGTTGTAGGAGTGGAAATTCCTGTTCTAAAAGCCAGTTTCGTCTAGGCTAAACTAACTAACCAACTCAAAGCAAAAACTAAAAAGCAAAGCAAAAAAAAAAAAAAAAAAAAAATGTGTGCCGCACAGGCAAATGCCAGACAGACTAGTGCAAAGAGTTCCCACGAAGAATGAGTCGCAGCCTCTGCTTAGGAAAAAACTAAAAAATAAAAACAAAAATTGGCCAGCTTCAGCTTGAACCAACGGCGACCAATCGAGGCGGCCCGCAGACAGCAAAGAATGCGGCTTAAAGTTCAATCGTGCAGCAACAAGTGTTGTTGTTGTTGTCACTGTTGTTGTATTTTTTGTCGGTTGCAAGAAACCACAATATGAAAATCGATTCAAACAAACCAAACTGACAATCAAACGAAACTCCAACTGGGTATTCATTTTGGGAAAATTATGATGCTCTGACTGAATGAATGCGATATGCAAATCAAATCGTCTTCCAAAAAAGAAATGTATTAATGGAATATATTAGATTGGGCCATGGAGAGAAAATGCGAGAGAAAATAGAGATCTCGACTTCAGTATTGACAATTTGAAAAGAGTTTAGCTGCAGTTACAGCTATGGCTGGTTCTTCTACTCGTTCTTCCTGTAGCGCCGCGTGTCAATTAAATAATCGAACTGTTATATCCAGTTGAGCTACAGTTAAAGCACGCTAAGTGGAGCAGCAAAGCATTGCAGTTGACATTTCTTTTGATATGTAAAAAATATTTTTTTTTCGAATTTTTCTTTGAAAAAAAAAAAATAAATAAATAAATAAAAATAAAAATTAAATGAAAAAAATAAATAAATAAAAATTATATTTAAAAAAAAGCTAAAATATTAAAAAATAAATATCATAAATTATTGAACACCTTAACAATAAATAAAAAATTGAATAATTTTAGCAAAAACATTCAAATTAAAAATATCTAACAATTATACTTTTTGTGTAAATAGCAAATAATTTAAATTGGTGAAAAGTTCAAAATCTTACTATTACTATATTATGAAAATACCATTTTATTAGCCACATTTCGCATTTTCCTAAACAATCACATACCTTTCCGTAAAATATAAACTTAACGAACGAATATGTACGAGAATTCTTTTGTTTTTATGCTTTTATATTTTACTGTAGTATTTCCTGTAGTTGCAGTTCTAGTTGCTATGCATAAACATAAATTCATCTCGCTCTGTTGGCATTTACATACCTCTTTTATTTAAGTTTCATGTATTATTCCGCTAGTTGATGCTGAATACTGTTGCTATTGTTGCTCTTGCTGCTGCTGTTGTTGCTGTTGTTGTTGTTGTTGCTGTGTTAGCTGTGAAAATTGGTTGCTTTCTATTTGAGCTTGTATTCTGTAAATATTTATTTGTATTTTGTGCAGACAGCGGAATTATGAACACAATGTTAATAACTTGGCAAACAGAACTTGTGCCGTTTTTTCTTTTAATTTTTTTTTCTTATTTATTTTCGAACACTTTTTTCGAGCACTTCTTAAGTGAAATTTTGCTGCACTTTTCGTTGCCTTTCTTAGCACGCGCGAGAACAACAACAACAATTAGTAATAATAATTTTTGAAGGCGAACCGAACCGAACTGATCGGAACGGAACGGAACTGCACGCGCAGTGCAAAGCAGACGCGACGTCAATTGGAGGCGAAAACAAGACGAAAGCCCGAAAATGCAAATGGTAACACGCACACAGGCACAGCGCCACACGCACACACGCGTAGATAAACAAAAAATGCAAAGAGGCGACGCTTTAAATTTTCTTTCTATATATTTCTTTTTCTTTACTTTTCTTTTCTTTCTTTGTTGTTGCTGGCTTGTAAAACGTTCGTTCTTCGGCGAAGAAGAAGACGCTACGCTGCGAGTTGTAAAACGAGAGAGGCCCGCGATCAGACCGTTAAGCGCGGACGGTTCACTGACGAATGACCAAAGTTTTCGGCTGCAGCTGAGCGCCAGCTTAGTTGTTCGAAAACGAGTTCGAAAGTGTCGCAGCTCGAAAGAGCGCCACAGAGCGAGAGAGCTTCACAGAGAGAGAGAGAGCGCACGTCAATGATCTCAAGTTTGTGACTAGAGTCTTTCGTTTAGAATTTTTTCTCGCTCAGCAGTTGATTTATTGTTTAACAATAACTGTTTATTGCATTGTGCGTTTTAGGTAGTTTTTTCGTAGCTGTTATTTTTTTTTTCTCTCTTCATCTTTTTTTTTTTGGGCAGCATCAGCAGCAGCCTTTACAGTGAAGCTGGACAAAACGGAAAACCGGAATGGATTGACACACATTTAACAGCTTTTGTTGTTGCTCTATCGTTGGCTTTGTGTATTATTTATATGTGATGACAGTAGCTGAATAAATTTCAATACATATGCATATTATTGGAATTTGTCATTTACAGTTTAACAAACAAAGCCGTGATCAAGCTAAGACTAACCTATAAATATTACACATAGTAGCTAAATTGCAGATTAACCTAGAAAATCGTAATAATTTTAGTTTAACTTAATTTTTCTCTAATTTAGTTTGTTTCTTTAGCTTGTTTCTATTTCAATGACCTGTGCTGTGCACTTAGCTTTCGCTGCGCTCTCGCTGTAAACTTTTACTCTCTATCTGAGCGCTGCTCTCACTCTCTGACAACTTCTTCTTCTGCTTTATCTTCTTCTTCTTCTTGTTGCTTACTCTCTCATAGTTTGCTCTGTTTACTTCGGCAATTGCCGCATTAAGTTTTTCGTGACGCTGTCGTCGTTTTATTGCTGTTTTCAGGTTTTAGTCTACCCAATGACTTCTTAACGGTTCGCCACTTAATGCCTCGCTTTTTTCGTTTGTACTTTTTGCAGTCGCTTTTTGTCGCTCACACGCTGTCCCCCTTTCGCGCTGACCCTCTCTCCCTCTCTCTCTCTCACTTTGGAATTGCAGCTGTTATTGTCATTTTGCTTTTCAGCTACAGCTTTAGCAGAGCTCTGCGGTTTTCCTGCGCTTCTGCTGCTACCATTACATCCCTCTCTCTCGCTCTCTGTATCTCCTTTGCTTATCGCGCAGATCTTGTTGTCAACATTCGCTGTTGTTGTGCCTTTTTTTCTTCTCTCATGAATTTTTCACTTTGCATTTTTCCTGGCCACGCTTGTAGGGCTGCCGTCTCGACGCTTCGCCTGCTGACCGCAAAAGCCAGCTGCCGATATGATCTGATTTATAGACGCAAGCAGTTGAAGCCGGCTCGTTGTCATTTGCTCAAATATTTATTTACAATTTTCACAATTGGCAGTTGTTACAGTTTCTGTTGCTGGCCCACTTTTACTCGACTGTCTGATTACCTCCGATCTGATAAGTTATTAAATGGAGCTGAGAAGTACGCAATGGATTTGAATTATGATTAGACGGCACTCAAGCTGACTGTTTGTACTCATGCTTGGTTTCTTGTCATAAGATTTACTGCTTAACCCAGTTTAAGTCCGACTTTTTAAACTTTATTCCCTCTTTAATATGAATATCCAAATACATTTGCTGCCTGAAAGTGGGCAACACATATTTGCTTGTCTTTATCTGCGACGCAAACCACTTATCAGCTTAACATAATTACCATCAACTGCAAGCCGTCAGTCTCTCTCTCTATCACTGTCACTCACTTGCTGCCTGGGAGTATGATTTGATTTTGGCTGCGCTTAGCTGATACACACACCATTTACCACTAATTAGTCGACATTTTCCACTGCTGCGTGCGATTTTTGTTTGATCCATGCGAAAATCAACAACGTTGCAAGTTGTTATTGGCTGAGTCTTGGTTGTTGGCTTTAGTTGCGTGTTGCTCTGCTGCCGCATGAGTTCTTAATTAGCCCGCAATGAGTTGCCAATATGCTATTTGGTAAGTACATATTCTCCCTCTACTGCTGACATCACAAATTTGTGTTTTTTTTTTTTTTTGTTATGTCTAATTACGTGACACGCCCCCCGGGGCCCAGCCACCTTGCTCCAGTTTTTGCTTAAAATGCTATTGTGGCTTGAACCTTCGTCTAATTGCAAATGCGAACGCTTTTCATCTAATGCAAAAACTCCGATAATGAGCCCAGTCGACTGCGCCTTGTTAATTGGTGGAGTGTGTGTGTGGGCGCGTAGGACAGTGGAGGGGGGAGGCGTGGCTGCCAAAGTTCAATAATTAACCAACATGTGCGGAAAATTATATGGTCACGATAATTGATCTGTTGTGTGTTGGTGTTGCCGCAGCGTTAACTGCCACAATTAAATTCAATGCTGCACGGACCTAAATACGCCAGGCAAAGTGACTGACTGACCCAAAGAGAATATTTCTTGGATTGCCTAACTGTTTTGGTAGCCCTTTTAGATAGATCGAAGATTAAATTCATCTCTTCTTTTTCGTCTGTTTTTCCAACTTTCCTACCTTTCGCTCTGACTTTCTGTTTTTCTCACTGTCACTCTCTGTCAGTCTGCATAATCCATCTCTCTCTCCCTCTCTCTCTGCTTCTATCTATCAGTCTCTCTCTCTCTCTCTTTGCCTCTATCCATCAGTCTCTCTCTCCCATTCTCTCTCTCTCTCATTGCCTCTATCTATCAATCTCTCTCTCCCTTTCTCTCTCTCTCTCTCTTTCTCTCTCTCTCATTCTCTCTCATTGCCTATATCTATCAATCTCACTCTTTCTCTCTCTTTCTCCCTCATCATTCAATTGATTGAATAGCTGAGGTCTAGGTATTAAAAATCAAATCTCTCTCTCTATTCCTCTCTTTCTCTCTCTCTTATTCATATAAGATATATTGCTCAGCTCAGCTATTCCTATCCTCCTATCCTATCTTTAGATCTATAGTCGAATCAATTGCTGGCCAATTTTACCAGGACACTTCAAATAATTTCGAGTAGTTTCTCGAGTAAAGTTTTAACTTTCATAGCACTCACACACAGAGATAACACATTTATTGAAAATTTGGATCGAAATTCCCAATTGTTTAACCTACATGATCTCCGATCATGGGCGTGCACACTGTTGACGGTAAAACTATACCAAATTATATGAAATATGTGCTCGGAGGCACCGCTGGCATGATGGCCTCGGTTATAGTCCAGCCGTTGGATCTGGTGAAGACGAGAATGCAAGTGGCCGGTGCATCGGGAAAGCAGGAGTACAAAAGCTCCTTCGACTGCATCGCCAAGGTGTTTCAGTCCGAGGGCTTTCTGGCATTCTACAATGGCATTAGCGCCGGCCTGCTGCGGCAGGCGACGTACACAACGGCCCGCATGGGTGTCTATCAAATGGAAGTGGAGCACTACCAGAATGCCTACAAGAAGTCGCCCAATGTGCTCGCCAGCATGGCCATGGGCGTCGTTGCGGGCGCTTGCGGCGCTGTTGTCGGCAATCCGGCCGAGGTCTCGCTCATCCGCATGATGGCCGACAATCGACTGCCCGAGGATCAGCGGCGTAAATATAAGAATGTCGGCGATGCGGTGCTACGAATAATACGAGAGGAGGGCGTCTTTGCCCTCTGGCGTGGCTGTGCGCCGACAGTGGCCCGGGCGATGATCGTGAATATGGTGCAGCTGGCATCGTATTCGCAGTTCAAGCTCCTCTTCAAGAACTATTTGAATGAGGGCCTTGGCCTGCACATTGCATCTAGCATGTGCTCCGGCCTGTTGACCACCATCGCCTCGATGCCAATGGACATGGCCAAGACGCGCATACAAAATATGAAGATCAAGGATGGCAAACGCGAGTACAAGGGCACCCTGGACGTCATCATGAGTGTGATACGCAACGAGGGCGTGTTCTCGCTGTGGAAGGGCTTCACACCCTACCTCTGTCGCCTGGGCCCACACACGGTGTTTGCCTTCGTCTTCCTCGAGCAGCTCAATGCGGCATACTTCAAATATGTTTTGGGTGTTGAGAGCAAGCAACCGGGTCTGTGATTAAATTCAATTTGAATGTACATTGCAATAGCCTTGTACGTTCGACATTCGTAAAATCCAATGAATATATTTTTGTTTGTTTGAATTAATAAAATTAATATGTTACTTAGTTTTTGATTTAGTTTATCTATGATGAGCTTAAAAGCAGGATAGGGGCGTATAATCCAGTTGAATGAATCCATGTACGACTTTTTTTTCAAAAATGGAGTAGTCAAAGTTCCGGATAGCTATATTATGTAGAAGTAATTTATATGTATATAAGTCCCCTTCTATAAGTCCCCTGAGATATTAGCCAAAGTGAAATCGAAATCCATTTTTACTCAACTCAAGCTCATATCGCATGCAACTCGCAACTTATCGCATGCGATAAATTAGTTTTATCGGCACACACACACTAACATTTCTCTCTCTCTTTCTCACACTCTCTCTCTGTCAGTTGCGTGTGTGTGTTTAGATCGAGTGCGAGGTCTTATCACTCGAACAGTTCAGTTTCATTCAGTTGGGCTTGTGCAGCTCGATCGTGCGGTTCGGTTTGTGTGTGGCGCCTGGCAGCAAGAAGCAGGAGAAGTGAAAAAAAAATTGCTGGCCAAATTGATGGCACTTAAGCTGCGGCTAGTCCACATTTGTCGTGATCTTTCAAGTGAGCAGCATGAATCAACCGGCGGCTCAAGCGTTGCGGAAGTGTTAATTTAAAGCCCAAATAAGGCATAAATCAGTGTTATATATACACCTAGTATATATCTTTCTCTCTCTACTCTATATCGAGTGCTGAATCTGTGCCTTGAATGGCTGTCGTGTTAGCTGTGTAGCTCACATAATTCACAAATTGATAAATTTATAATTAAGTGCAATTAAATTTATTGTGTGTGGAGATAACATTGTAAATTCTTTCAACGGATATTGATATACTGACGTGACGCGCCTCTGAGGGGCTGAGGTAAGTTTTCTGCTTCTACTTTACTACCTCAAGTATGAATTATGACAGTCACTCAAGTAGTTAAATAGATTAGTTTAGCTCATTCCACAAACAGATCAAT